GTGTTAAAGGTGCAGTTCATGAGAATCTTGTCACACTTTGGCCAATACAGTCTTAAACTTATGACTAAGTATCTTACACTCATACAAGAAACGTGCCCGCCGTACTAATTAATTTACCGAGGACATTTCTTATTAAAAGGGAGAGGCAAAGGTAGAATTTCAATCTCAGAACTCGTGATAAACCCCTTTGAGAGCTTCATTGTAGTAGCATAGTAATTTCTAACAAACGACACCACTGCTTTTAGGTTACCATTGATGCGAATGTATATTTTGGATTTTGTCTTTTCAAAGGCATTTTCATGATAATGCCGCTTTGAAGATAGATGCTTACATGCGGTGATTGGTGGATAGACAAAAAGCAAAAGGCAAACGTAGTGTGACCACGTACAAGTTTTTAAAATATAAACAAGTTGACATTTGACTTACAGTTTTGCCACAGCTGTTTACACCCAGTGAAACATACATGTAACGAAAGATACATTTGTATGAAAGAAAGAAACAAAAGAAGCAAACACAATCAAACCAGGGTTCATGTATGCCGGACCTAGAAATACCCTAAAGAGGGTGAGTGGGTAGAATCAAAAACAACAATTCTCATTTAATTTTACCAAAGACACTGTCAGAGAAGGACACCCATGTTCTAAAAATTGGTATTTGCTATTGATGTTGCTAAATTAGCAAGCAAAACTTTATCCCCTGGGCTTAGCAGTCTTACTAGAAAGTCATGCGTTTCATGTTACCGACTGAAAAATAAAAATAAAGAATTTCTTGCGAATCCATGATTGGTTGTATGGGTACATCAACACTGACTATTTCTTCCTTAAAACAAAATCTGGTTTAATAGCAAAAAGGAGAACTAAGATGAGATACTGCGCATCAGTGGTCGTTTTTACCTGCTCTTCGACGTTTGCAAATGCTATAACCAGCAGCAAATATGACAATACAGCCAAACACGGTTCCCACAATATAATACCACTCCAGAGCCAGCTTGGCAATAGAACCTGAAAAGGGAGCATTTAGTTATGCTATACAAGTCTTCATTTTTGCCTCGTGCCCACGTGGCCAAAGTCACATCGATGAGAGGATATGGAGTGAGTTCGGTACATTCTGTGTAAGACATTCCATTCTTTGGGTTCCTAATGTAAGATTCCTGCGAAGGGTGGTTCTTTACTATAGTTATTACAGTTATTCAAGTGGGATTAATTTTCAATGGTTAGCCCACTGGACTTGAGACCAAGCAGTAATGGTTTAAGCCCGGTGTTCTTGGGGAAGACAATTGCCACTCACAACCTGGCCTTGGTTGTTCAAAAGCTGATCAGTGCCAGCCCAGGAAGAGCCTAAATGTTGAAGGGTCTAGATTTCCAAGACGAACCACCATCCAGATATTTGCAAATTGTAAGCAGTTAGTCACCCTATAGCATACACTGATAAGGTACTTTAAAAAGTGTTGTGCCTTTAATAGATAGCCCGAACCTGCAAAAAATTTAAGACAAGGCAATGCCCAGTTGATTACACTACGAGATTATACATTATTAATGTAATATTATAGCATTGTAAACTCTCTGCCATGATCATCCTCCAAAATTTAGCGACAGCTAGTTATAGCCATTACGTCATAACAGCCATCAAGTCATGACAGTGAAACATAACAGTGAAAGACTACTTGCAACATGCCCTGGTCCTGTTTTAATTAGACTGAAATTCCCAGTTATTGTCTTAACCAAGGATCATCCACGCCCAACAATCCAATGAGGAGAGTTAAGACAATATGGGCACCATGTGTGTTCCGAGCAGGACCCTCTGTCCCACTTAAAAGGGTGGCAAAGGATATATATATATTTTGTGATGTAGCTTTCTGGTGCCAATTTTAAAGAACACCGCTCCATTATTTCTTGAGATTGATTCAGTGTTTTACTGTTTAAGTTGAATTTTTTATAACGTTATCATTTTCCTCATTTGCACAATACAAAAACCTAAATGTCTCTAGAAAGAAAGAAGATATTATAAAAAGAAAAAAGTCTTTCAAATAAGCAGCAGTTATTTTTAACTTCATAGGCACTTTAACAAATGGAAAAGTCACCTTACCCATGACATTGATCTTCACAGTAGAGCGAGCCACGATACCTGGTCTGTTACGTGCCTCACACGAATATTCACCACTATCACCTTCCACGACGCCCTCAATAAAAAGTTTGCTCAATCTGCCATCTACTCCTGTATCAATCTGTGCTCTTGGGATTACTTCGTCATCATTTTTCTTCCATGCGATCGCCACAGTCGCTCTATTGACTTTACAAGTTAATCTAAGCTCATCTCCTGCTGTCAGTTTTGGATAAGGTCTTGGGCTTACTTCAGCACTGGGTTTTTCTTTTGAGACAATCAATCGATAGACAGAGGTTAAACGATTCAAAACTTCCAGTAGTTCATGGGCATATTTGTCCATTTTTGTTTTGGTATGTTTATTTTTGGAAGGGCTCATTATTATGGGTGAAGGCGGAGGAACTTTTTTATCTTTGGAATGTTGAATCTCAGAACCATGTGGGTTTATGTTCTGAAATGATGCCGTGTAAGAAAAAGGTTAGGTGCATAAAGGTATAGTACAATATAAACTCTAAACATAACATGAATTCTATGAATTTTATATGAAAGAAGTAAGTTTTTTCAGTCGCCCAACGGCAAAAGTTAGTAAGTTTTAGCTGCCTGTGGCACCCGAACACTTCTAGAGGACAGCCCTATAAAGCCTTATTTTTATTTTTTTAACTGGAATGACCATGAATAAGGTAGACTTTTTTCCTGCTTACCAAACACATGAAGATATGCCGAGGAAGTTGTTGCATTTGCTTTGTTTTCTGCAGTACACTTGTAGATGCCTTCCATGTGTTTTGTAGTGTGAAGCAACTCCAAGAATGATCCTTTACCAAGACTGGTTTGATTGACACCTGATGGGAGGTCCCCATCATTAAATTTCCAGGACAATTTTGGCTCGGGAACAACTGTGGCTTTGCAGCTGAAGTTTCCTGGATAACCTTCAGGGACAGACTTGTTGCTTGGAGAAACACAAATCTGAGGAGAGACTTTTGACCAAACATACTCTTTTAAACTGATGGTCTCGGCTAAGGCAATCAAATCATTCAGTCATTAACCATTATTCACCTGTGCCTTTTTTGGGAGACTAGAAAACTTAGCATTAACATTCTTATAAAATCCAAAATCTCACTAAAACACAAATTTGAACTTAACTTTAGAAAGAAAACATCCTTTGAAAACACGGTTGCCATAGAAACATCAAGACACAATGACCAAACCGTTGGCCAGTGTGTCTACTACTGAAGTTAATTATTATTCAAATGTACCCTAGATCTTATTGGTTTTAACAAATGCAGTGTTTTTCTCACCCTGTGAAGTTCAGAAAGTAATAACCCCCTTAATGTACTGCGCCGTTAAGTTTAATAATGACCATAAGAGAGTAGAAATCAATTTGAATTCATTTACTTGCTCCAGCAGCTCACAGCACTATCTTATGTCAACTGAAAAAAGATAGAGTTCTTCTAAAATTAACCCTAAGAGTATACCGAGTTAAAGACATGGAGCAATTTCTTCAAAATTTAATTGAAAACGAAAACGCCTAGGAACAAAATCAATGCCTTTATAAATTAAACACCATGTGACATGTTTTCACATTTTCGCAATAATCCATTAATTTTATAGATAAGGCATCCTTTTCTCGAACCCTGAAAGATGCAATTCCCTGGAAGTAGTAAGAAAAGGTTGCTTTACTCAAACGGATGAGGATTTTTGCTTTAAATACTTATACGAAATTAAAGTTAGTTTTAAAGTTAGTACATTTTGTATAATTACAAGTTTAAAATTTTCAATTTCCAACAAAAGGTAAAAAATGCGACAAAGCTATTGACAGTCTATTGATGCCCTCACTTGATTGGAAAGTGTACCAGTTTTGAACAACTGAACCAAAAGTGTCATTAAACCGGTTCGTTGATTGACAGGAAGTTAATACTTTACCTGTTACGTCAATCCAAAACATAGTGTGCGTCTTTCCTGCCCAGTTTACCGCCGTACATCCATACAGGCCTGCATGGTCGAAAGTCACGTGATCCACAGTGTAGGTGTTATTGTTTCTGTTACCAAGATCCACGCCATTCTTAGTCCAGTTAATCTGTAGCGGACGATCACCACTTTCAATGCATGTCATAGTAAACGTGGAATTCAGTTCAACAGAACGATTCATGAGTCCAGGATACAGTACAGGTGGAGCTTGAAAAGCAAGACAATTAAGGGATAAATTGCTGTTTCAGGATAAAAAGTAGCGATATTAAAATATAACCTTTCGGCGACGATATCTCACCATTATCAAATGTAAATTATGTACACTTAATTATGCACATTCTTCTGTTTTTGCTAATTTTGTCCATTCTTTTGTGTTCCCCCATCACACTTTATTCTAATGCAGTTTCAAACTTTCCTTTCTTTATATAACGTTACTGAACTTATAATGGTTACATGTCGTCGCCGAAACGCCATGTTTTAATATCGCTACTCTTTATCCTGAGATGTTTTTCCAAATCTCTCGTTATCATAAACTTGCTGTTTTCAAGTAATTCCCAATTTTTTATGTTGCTTTTTTAGACAAAAAATTATCTACCTCAGTTAAATTGAAAAGTGCATAGCCGCAGAATATNGGGGGGGGGGGGGGGAGGTGCGAACCCCCCTTAAATGAAGCCTTCTTCTTTGTATTCGCTTTTGAAATTTGTTTACATCACCAGTCAGTTACACCATTCCGGGGTGGTGCACCCGCTCCTAAGAAAAATCCTGGATCTGCCCCTGGGTGGTTGTTTTTGACTCATTTTAGTTAACCCTTGAATGAAATTCCACGCAAGCCGTGAATAAAAACTGTCAATACATATGTGTATATTGAATGGAAGTAATGTGCATGGCAATATAGCAGAGTTTTGTACTACAGTCAAACCTATACTAAGCAGTTACCCTAAGGAATATACAAAAGTACACTAAAATAAACTGAAAACTTAAAAAATTCAAACTGGTGAGAGGCTGACCAGTTGGCTATTTACAACACGTGAAGGAGTTGAATCCGGGACCACCAAACACAAATTCATCTAGTGGTTGGGAAGAGGTTTTGAAGGCTGGACCTCAGGATTACAAATCCAGTGCCCTGACCACTGGGCAATGGTATCTTCATAGAGGTAACAATGGCAATCTAAAAGTCTAAGGATAAAAATTTCAGAAATAACAAATACTTTCTACGCCATAATGCTGTGCTCAAAAGTTAAAAGACTAGAAGTTTTCTTAGCATTTTCTGGTAGATAGTTCTAGTTGGTTACAGCAGGACTAGTGAAACAGTACAGTGTTGGCTCCAAAATTAGAAACATCAAGGTTTTCAGATGTTATTTTCTTGGTACGTCTTGTAAGGATGAAAGTCTTAAAATTGAAATTCCAGTCAACTAAACAATTTAAGAGCTTAAAACAAGCAGCGAATAGCGCAGTTTTCGTCTTATGGCCACACTAACCAAGCGCCAGCCGAGCTGTGCAAGAACTGGGGTTGCTGAAGAGTACTTTGGCTGATCTAGAATGATCTTTGCAGCTCTGTCCTGTTTTACTTGGATTCTATCCATAAGTGTGACATTTGATTTGTCCCCCCAAGTGACATCTGGATAGGCATCACCATGGCTTTGACGAAAAGTTTCTCTTGGGAGTAAGGTTTTGATTCTCTGGAGTCAGCAATGTAAAATTCTAATGCTCTTGATGGTTACTATATTCATTTCTCAAACTCATTAATAATTTATCAAGTTTGAACAAAGGAAATCATGACCGTGACGGTGTTTGGACATCTGATCTTAATTAATATATATTTTAACGAGTTTCTTTCTCCGTTTTCTCCTTATTTTTGGTCTCGATTGAGAAGATGTATCAAACACTCAAGCCACAGTTTGACCACATTTCCAAACACCTCGAAGTTCGTCAAAAATACTCCACTGCGCGTCGTATTTTCAACTCTCTTCTCGGTGTTTGGAAATGTGGTCAAGCACGGTCTTTCGTGTTTGATATATTACGAGAATTATTAACTTACTTTTAACTGTTAGATATATGCTGTCAGTGAAATTGCCACCGGCATTGCGTGCTTTACAGGTGTACCTTGCCTCGTCTCTTTCTGTTACATTTGCCAAGAGCAGAGTTAACGTAGTCTTCTCATCAAGCAGAAGGTCCCCATTTTTAAAAATGGACAGTTGTGGTTCAGGCAAACCTTTAATAATTTTACAAGTCAGGTTGGCACTGTCTCCTTCATGCAAGGGCTCGCTAGGCCCTAACAACTCAATAACTGGGCGAACTACAGAAAAAACAAACAAACAATTAAACAGCATTGGAAGATAAAGATACATTAAATCTTTATAAATTTTAAGCAGTGTCCCAAACCACCGACTGGATTTCTAGCCCAGGAGGATAACAGAACAAAGTTTAATACATGGGACTCTACCCCCAGGTCTAAACTCTTACCCTTTTATATACAATTTATGACAAAAAGAGTACCCCTGTAATACACATTGTGTACCTTCCATTGAAAACAGAAATCTATAGTATGCACACTACATCCCTTTTCTATAACCATGGATTGGGTAGCCCCTTTAAAAATGATAATTTTGAAAGGCCTTTGTAAAATAATCAAATGGTAGTTCTCCACACCCTTTTATATTGTTGAGCTCGTGAAATCCCTATTCATTTAGGTTAAAACGTACCATGCATCCCGAAGGTGTCCCTTGGGGGCAGAATCTCCCCATACCAAGTTTCTAATCGAATTGCAATAAAAATGCCCACTGCACATTTATTTCTCATTTTTTGGAAAAACCAACGATTTCTTTTAAGCGATTGTAAAAAAAGTAATTGTTCATAAATCTCAGTCCGTGCATACATTGCATGGAAGTGCCGTCTAAATACAGCTATTTGTTATTGTTATTAAATTAATGAAGTTGTCTGTCAAAATGTTTTGATTAATTTAAGTATTTGTCACTCACTTATGACAAAAACCTTGATGGTTTGATTTTTTGTTGTAACCCTTTTACTTCCTTTACTTTGTCTGAATGTGCAGATGTATGTTCCATTGTCTTGCGGGTGAACTGGATTGATGTATAAACTCCCTTTAGAAAGCCGAGTGAATCTTCCATTGTCCAATGGTGTTTCATCTTGTCTTTTCCATTCAATCAATGGGGTTGGAGTTCCTTCAGCACTACAGCTTATAATCCCAGAAACATCAGCAATAACACTCTGCTCAGGGTTCTTCTCAGTAAATCTTGCTGTTGGAAAAAACAATAACAATGGTTTGATTAGTGAATGCAGTTCAGAAGCCTTCGATTGCTACTGTATCTTGAAACAAGTTTAACAAGTTAAATTTTATCTAATTTAATTTTACAAAGATAAACAACAAATGCTCCCAATGTCTGGTCTGACCGAACAATAACTTAATTTGTAGTTTAATTGTAATTACGTTAACATTCTAAGTAGAGTAGGTAATATTTGTATGTAATGTACTGTTATTGCATTGAAAAAAGGAAACTTAATTTGGAGTAAACAACTAAGGGCAACTTTACTTCAGTGAGCTCTACCAAACCAGCGCTTACATGTACAGTGGAAGAAAAATGAAAAGTTAATTAGATTAAGACGTTGCAATACTTGTTAATTATTTCTTTTCTGCCCTAGTCCATCAGCGACCTTCACTGAACAAAAATACAATAATAGGAGTTTTCTGTCCTGTGTGACAAGTGTACACACTCTGTTGAAGATTGCTGGGCTTTATGGAAATAAAATCGTATGCATTTACAGCCCATGCAGGGGAATCCTATGTGAAATGGTCGGAGATGCTCGTTGTCTCAGTTAGGGGTATAAATTAAGGATTCTGCTCCAACTTAGAGTGCTGACGTCGAAAAACCACTATCTTTAGTTTTCAAAGTATCTTTCAGGGTGCACTCGAACAAGTAGTAATAAAAGCAACGCTCTTATTTTTGTACTTAGGCTGCTAGCACGGGCTCCTTTTCAGATCAGTTGCTGGTAATTGAGCCTATTCCATTTTAGGAGGTATCTTTCAGGTGTCAAATAAAGCTTGAGACACACCCAGACCGGTCTCCTTCAGCGATTTCATTCAAAGTTTCCGACAGGCATCCCCGACCTTTCCACATGAGAGTCCCTCCCCGCCGGGATTTACAGACTCGAAGATGAACATTTACAGACTGTACAGATACACACATGCGGACAGGCTCAACAATTCAATTACTCTACCTAGTAAGATACATTGGCCTACCATTGACATAGATGGTGTAGTATCGAATGTATTCTAATCCCCTGCATTCATAGGTTCCACCATCAGACAACTGAACGTTTTTTATGGTCAGTTCACCATTTTTGTTTGCCTTCATCCTTGTCTCAGATGTAGAATTAATCTCTTGATTTTTGTTATTGAACCAAGTAATGTGGCTGGTTTCATTTTCTAGGGAGCAGCGAATAATTTCATTACTGTCGACATCCAAAAATTCTCGCCCAGCAGCCAAGATTGTTTTGTCCTCTGAAAGAAAAGACTTATGCTCAGCACGTTGTGATATCCAGAGAAAATTCTAAATCCTAACACGCTTTTATATATAACCGATACAAGATAAAGTTAAGGTTTGTAAATACTGCCAGGAGTTAGTAAATCCTATCTTTACCCTGGGTAATAAATCAACCCTTTGTCTTAATAGGTGATGACTTCCTGCCAGTAAACAAGAATATTGTGATCACATAGGTTTACTATGAAAGTAAGGTAACAATATATTGCCTTGATAATGTCCTCCCACATTTCAATACTGTGACAGGTTTAAAACTCTGATTGGCATCACTGCACTGAATTGGGTCGTGGTGTATGCATCAAAACTCCCACATTTTTTCTTTTTGCAATTAATTGCTGGTGCGGTATATTGTTAGTATATTATTCTTATCAGTGTAGCCTGACTCTCCCCGTGGCACAATGATGGCAAACACAAACTAATAAGGTTAGGCGTTGTTAGGTATAAGATCTTTCGGTTGCACACCCTTCCTGGCCCCCTTTTCAGAGTGTCGTGAGATTATAACTCACTTAATGTGGGCTTGATAAAAGACTTGTATTGTTAATTTTATGTCATGGTTGCATGCTGATAAAACAAAATGGAAAGAAAATCTGTTTTGAATATTCTTGTTAAGACCTACAAAAACTACTAATATAAGATCTTGAAAAACTAAGGCATACAAAGACCTACAGGTACATGTAAAAGACCTTGAAAGCTATGCTAAAAGATCACTTACTTTTTGGTTCACACAATGCCTGAGCACCTGTGTCATCATTTTGACAGTCAACATTAAGCTTTCCATCAGTTCGCGGGCAGGATGCCAGCTCAGGCTCATCTACATTGCAGGCTACATCAGACATTACAATAGGAATGTCCTCATCCTTGACATCTGACACAACAAATTCAGCAACTGCACGTTTGAAGCCAAGTTGACGGCAGATAACTTTGACATCTTCGAAATTCCATTTATTACGGCAGATCTTTCCCCACTTTCCCTTGTAAAATACTTCAACTCGTCCGCCATATTCTATATTGCTGCCATTTAAACGCACAGGAACTTTTGAGATTACAAAAGAAATTTAAGCTAGGTTAGCAAATTGGTTAAATATATTTTGCTTACTGCATTACAGGTAAAACATGCAAGACACCTGTTGAAGGTAAACGGTTTCAAAAAACATTCAGATACTTACAATCTGTTACTTAAATGCATGGCTTGTTAATTATTTCCTTAATCAAAAAGTCAACATGCCATTAAAACATTGGGTTTATAGCTGTTTTAACTATTATTGCTCTTATATACAGTACTGCAACGACACTGTCATTTAATTCCCTAAATAATTAATTTACATTTATAGATTAAGATTTAAATTCTTCTTTATTTAATCATATATTTGGCACTC